GGACGCAGCAATAAAACAAAACAAGAGGGAGTAAAGAAAAGACAAAAAAAAGAAAAAAAATTCTAGAACAACCACAGAGAGACCAAAGCGACGACCCGACCAACCAGATCGGGAGAACCAGGTGAGTCATCCCCAGGCCAACCACCCCCTACCCCCTATCCCCCGTCCCCCCCCCTCCCCTACACCCAGGACCCCCCCTCCCTCCCTCCAGCTGATGTCAACCGGGCTGACACTATCGACTCGCGGCGCCGTCTAAGGTCCTCTTAAGGTCCCCGAAATCTTGCATATCTGACGCGAGGGACTTCCGCCTCGATCTCCGGGCCTCGATCGCGCTTGCACTTGTCCGGGAAGAAGTCGAGGCAAACAATCCCGCGATGGCATAAAAAAGTGAGAGTGAGAGAGTGGGTGAGAAAGAGAAGGATATTATATATATATATATATATATATATATATATATATATATATATATATATATAGAGAGTAGAGAGAGAGAGAGAGAGAGAGAGGAGAGAGAGAGAGAGAGAGAGAGAGAGAGAGAGAGAAGAGAGAGAGAAGAGGAGAGAGAGGAAGAGAGAGAGAGAGAGAGAGAGAAAGAAAGAAGGAAGAAAAGAAGGAAAAGAAAAGAAAGAAAGAGAGAAAGCACAGGAAAGAAAGAAAGAAAAGGAGAAAGAGAGGAAAGAAAGAGAAGAGAAAGGAAAGAGAAAAGAGAGAAGAAAAAAAACACCCCAAATTCCACCAAGCATCCACTCCCCCCCCCCCTAAAAAAAAAAAAAAACAAGCCCCCCCTCCCAACCCATCCCTACCCCCACCCCTCACCCCCCAACCGAAGACCCCCCAAACCCCCAACCGCCACACACACCGCCGAGCACGCCCACCGAGCGGCGCCGCGACTGGCAACCGCGAGAGCGACCGCGCGACACTTCGCCAGCCGCGGGCAAGACTCAACACCAGCTGGCACCCACCGCAACCATCTGAGGAGGCGAGACCTAATCGCGCCTAATCACGAGGGAGAGCGTCTTAATGACCGGCGTCTCGAAAAGGGAGGGAGAGCGTCTTAATGAGCGCGAGGGGGGGGGGACCTCGTGGCCACGCTGCCCAGGACGGGGACGGACCTCCGCCGACGTCGAAGGGGAAGGGGGCTGGGATCCCGTCACATGGAAGAGGGATGGGAGGGGAGGAGAAGGAGAAGAGGGACGGAGGGAGAGGGAGGACGGAGGGAGGAGGGAGGGAGGAGGGGAGGAGGGAGGAAGGGAGGAATCATCGGAGGAAAAGGAGAAAGAAAGAAAAAGAAAAAGATAAAAAGAAGACACAGACACAGACACAGACAAACCAACAGAGAGAGAGAGAGAGAGAGAGACAGAGGAACCCCAACCCCGCCAGCCTGCAAAAAAGGCCAGGTCCCCCCGAACCGAGTGTCCATCCACCCAGTCCCCACGACACCAATGAATCCCAATGACCCGAACACACGGCATCCAACTTAAATAACCCGGATCATTAAACGATCAGCTGGTCCCAACTCTGATTTACGTAAAGGGGGGAAGGAAACAGTGCGATCCCTTACGAACAGGGGATGGGAGAGAGAAATAGGGAAAGACACGATGAGAAGGGAAAGGAGAGAAAGAGCAGGAAAAAAAATGTGCGAACGAAGAGAGATTGAGGGATAGAAGGAAGAATGGGAGGAAAGGGAGATGAGAGGGAGGGAGGACAGGAGGGTGGAAGGGAGAGGGAAGAGAGAAAGACGAGAAAGGGAGGAAAGAGAGGAGAGGAAGAAAAGGAAGATAAGAGAGAAAAGAGAGGAGAGCAGGAAAAGAAAGGAGAGGAAAAGATAAAAAGGAGGATAAGGTGAGGATAATGAGATATCAGTACCAAAGAGTAACGGGGAATTATTCTCTATTCTATACTTCTATTCACCCATTTTCTGTCATACAATTTTGCACATTAGTCCGCCACTTTGCCCAATGCAGTGTATTAACCCTGTAGCACATGCTATTAGAATAACATATCTGAATATATCGTTCATATTAATTATATTAATTATATATATATTCTTATATTATTATATTAAGGTACTATTTTCTCTGATACGAGTTTTGAAAAAGTATTCGGCATTTTTTTCTTTCTCATCTATATTTGCC